CGCACCCCTTCCCCAGCTGCCACGCTCGCTGGGCACCCCGCTCCCAGGGCGCGGTGCTCTCCGGGCATCCCCGGTGTCCAGCGTGCCCAGGCGTCCTGCTCCCAGGTGCCACGCCATCTGGCTGCCCCGTCACCCCAGCATCACGCATTCTGGCGCCCTGCTCCCCAGGCACCCTGCTCCCCTGCGCTCTCCAGACACCCCATCCTTCAGGCACCCCCCCCTCCTTGGGCTAGCCCCCAGGCACCCCACATCCCCAGCACCTTACTTCTTGGGCACCAGGCTCTCTGGGTGCCTCACCTCCCAGGCACTGTGCTCCCTCGGGGCCTCGCTCTGTGGGTGCTGCACTTCCCAAGCACTCGCTGATCACCTGGGATGCTGGGTGCCCCACTCCCCAGGCACCCCACTGCATGGGTACCCCACTCCCTGGGCACCCTGCTCCCTGGGTGCTGGGCTCCCTGGGCACCCCACTGCATGGGTGCTCCGTTCCCTGGGCACTGAGCTCCCTGGGCAGCCCACTGCGTGGGTGCCCCACTCCCCAGGCACCCTGCTCCCTGGGTGCTGATCTCCCCAGACACCCCGCTCCCCAGGCACTGAGCTCCCTGGGCACCCCACTGCATGGGTGCCCCATTCCCTGGGCACCCCGCTCCCCGGGCACTGAGCTCCCCAGGCACCCCACTGTGTGGGTGCCCCATTCCCTGGGCACCCCACTCCCCGGGCACTGAGCTCCCCAAGCAACCTGCTCCCTGGGCGCTGAGCTCCCCAGGCACCCCACTCCCTGGGTGCCCCATTCCCTGGGCACCCCCCTCCCTGGGCACCCCGCTCCCTGGGCACTGAGCTCCCCGGGCACCCCACTGCGTGGGTGCCCCACTCCCCAGGCACTCTGCTCCCCGGGCGCTTAGCTCCCTGAGCACCCGGCTCCCTGTGCACCCCATTGCGTGGGTGTCCACTCCCCGAGCACCTCGCTCCCCAAGTGCTGAGCTCCCCAAGCACCCCACTCCCCGGGCACTGAGCTCCTCAGGCACCCCGCTCCCCAGATGCTGAGTTCCCCGGGCACCGAGCTCCCAGCACACCCCACT